CTTACCAAAGAAATGGACAGATGGCAAATAGGCAAAGTAAAACATGTTCAACATCATTAGTAGCTTTCATAGCGACCCCTCCTTGGGTTTCCGAGGCAGTATCACTATGGAAGTAGATTGCCTCATCTTCCTTCGGAGGAGTGGCTGGTGGGTTTGAACCACCAGCCTTCTGAAGAGCAGTCAAGTGCTTTAGGCACTATGCTACCAGAGCTCCTTCATTAGTAACTAGGGAAATACAAACTAAAACTACAAGAGATATCACTACAAACTCACTAAAATAGCCAAAAAAAAAAGGTGCTGCCAAGGAGGTAGAAGAAGTGAAATTCTAATATAGTTCTGGTGAGAATATAAAATGGTATAACTATTCTGGAAAGTAATTTGGCAGATTCTTAAAAAATTAAATACGAATCTGCCATATAATCCAGCCACTCCATTCCTAGGCATTTACTCAAGCGAAATGAAAACATATGTGCATACAACTTGTACATAAATGTTTATAGCAAAGCTTTATCTATAATAGCCCAAACTGGAAACTAAATGTCCAGCAATAGACGAAGGGGTAAACAAACAATGGAATACTACTCAGTAATAAAAAGAAGTAAGTAATACATCCAACCAACAACATGAAAGAATTGCAAAATAATTGTTCTGAATGAAAGAAGCCTGGTAAACAGAGTACATACTAAATTATTCTGCTTATATATTGAATTATATGCAAACTAAGCTTATAGTGACAAGAAACAAGTAGATAGACACCTGGAAATGGGAGGGAGACAAGGGAGGCATTCGAAAAGGTTCAGCATACTTTTATTCCATCATTATGAAAAGGAAAATCTTTTGCTTTTTTATTTTTTTTTTTTTAATGATTAAGGTCTCTAGGTGGTGCAAATGGTTCACACTGGACTGCTAAACTAAAGGTTCTGGTTTGAATCCACACAGCAGTATCTCAGAAGAAAAGGTCTGAGATTTGCTTCTGCTAAGATTACAGGCAAAAAAAAAAAAAAAAAAACCCTACTTTATAACACAAGGCAGGGAGCTCTGGTGGGGTAGTGCATAAGGCATGTGACTGCTAACCAAAAGACTGGTGGCTCAAACCCACACAGCTACTCCTCGGAAGGTTGTACAATCCTCTTCCGTAGTGCACTGCCTCAGAAACCCAAGGACGGGTCGCTATGAGTCGGATCCGACTCGATGGCAGTGGGTTTGGTTTTGATTTTTGGTATAACACATGGCATCACCATGAGTCACAATCAACTTGACAACAACTACTGCAACAATAATATAGTAAACTTTTGGAGGTGGCAGATGTATTCATTTTCTTGATTGTGATGATACTTTCATGATTATATAATATGTCCATTGTACTGTTTAAATACATGCAGTTTGTTGTTGTTGTTATTAGGTGCCATTGAGTTGCCTCTGACTCATCGTGACCCTATGCACAGCAGAACGAAACACCGCCCAGTGCTGTGCCAGCTCCGTAATCCCTGCTATACTTGACCCCATAGCCACAGCTGCTGTGTCAATCCATCTCATTGAGGGCCTTCCCCTCCTTCGACGACCCTCCACCTTACCAAGCATAACATCCTTCTCCAGGGAATGCTCCCTTCTGACAACATGACCAAAGTAGTGAGATGGAGTCTGGCCATTCCTGCTTCCAAGGAGCATTCTGGCTGCACCTCCTATAGGATGGATCTGTTAGTTCTTTTAGGAGTCCATGGTACTTTCAGCATTCTTCGCCAGCACCATAGCTCAGAAGCATCAATTCTTCTTCGGTCTTCTTTATTCATTGTTCACCTCTCACATGCATATGAGGCAATTGAAAATACCATGGCTTGTGTCAGGCACACCTTAGTCTTCAAGGAGACATCTTTGCTCTTCAGCACTTGAAAGAGGTCCCTTGAAGCAGACGTGCCTAGTGCTATACGTCATCTGACTGCTGCTTCCATTGGCATTGACTGTAGAACCAAGCAATGTGAACTCTTTGACAACTTCAATCTTTTCTCCATTTATTATGATGCTGCTTATAGGCCCAGTTGTGAGGATTTTTGTTTTCTTTATATTGAGATGTAATCCATACTGCAGAATGTAGTCTTCAGTCTTCATCAGTAAGTACTTTAGGTCATCCTCACTTTCAGCAAGCAAAGTTGTGTCATCTGCGTATTTCAGGTTCTTAATGAGCCTTCCTCCAATCCTGATGCCACGTTCTTCTTTATATACTCCAGCTTCTCGGATTATTTGCCCAGCATACAGACTGAATAAGCATGGTGAAAGGACACAACGCTGACACATTCTCTTCTTAATTTTAAACCATGCAGTGTCCCCTTGTTCTGTTCGAATGACAGCCACCTGGTCTATGTACAGGTTCCTTGTGAGTACAACTAAGTGTTCTGGAATTCCCAATCTTCTCAGTGCTATCCACAATGTGTTATGATGCACACAATCAAATGCATTTGCATAGTCAATAAAACACAAGTAAACATCTTTCTGGTATTCTTTGCTTTGAGCCAAGATCCATTTGACATCAGCAATAATATCCCTTGTTCCACATCGTCTTCTGAATCCAGCCTGCACTTCAGGCTGTTCTTTATCAATATACTGCTGCAATTGTTTTTGAATTATCTTCAATAAAATTTTACTTGCGTGTGGTATTAATGACATTGTTTGATAATTTCCACATTCTGTGGGATCACCTTTCTTTGCAATGGGTATAAACACGGATCTCTTCCAGTCAGTTGGCCTGGTAGCTGTCTTCCAAATCTCTTGGTGTAAGCGAGTGAGTGCCTCCAGTGGGGCATCAATTTGTTGAAACATCTCAATGGGTATTCCCTTAATTACTGGAGCATTGTTTTTAGCCAATTCCTTCAGTGCAGCTTCAACTTCTTCCTTCAGTGACATTGGTTCTTCATCATATGCCATCTCCTGAAATGGATGAACATTGATTGACCGGTTCTTTTTGTTACAGTGACTCTGTGTATTCCTTCCATCTTCTTTGGATGTTTCCTTCATCATTCAATATTTTGCCCATAGAATTTTAATATTGCAACTCGAGACTTAAATTTTTCCTCAGTTCTTTCAGCTTGAGAAATGCTAAGCATGTTCTTCCCTTTTGGTTTTCTAACTCCAGGTCTTTGCACATTTGTCTGCTCAAGCTGTGCTTTGAAATCTTCTGTTCAGCTCTTTTATCTTATCATTTCTTCCATTCTCTTTAGCTACTCTCCACTCAAGGGAAAGTTTCAGAGTCTCTTCTGACATCCATTTTAGTCTTTTCTTCTTTTCTCATCTTTTTAATGACCTCTTGCTTGCTTCATGCATGGTGTTCTTGATATCATCCCACAATTATTCTGGTTTTGGGTCATTGGTGTTCAATGCATCAAATCTATTCTTTAGATGGTCTCTAAATTCAGGAGGGATATATTCAAGATCATATTTTGGCTCTCGTGGACTTGTTTTAATTGCCTTCAACTTCAGGTTGAACTTGCATATGAGCAGTTGATGGTCTGTTCCACGATCAGCTCCTGTCCTTGTTTTGGCTGAAGATACTGAGTTTTTCCATTGCCTCTTGCCACAGATATAGTCAATCTGATTCCTGTGTATTCCATCTGGTGAAGTCCATGTGTATAGCTGCTGTTTGTGCTGTTGAAAAAAGTATTTGCAATGAGTAAGTCACTGGTCTTGCAAAATTCTGTCATCCAATTCCCAATGTTATTTCTGTCACCAAGGCCAAATTTTCCAACTACTGGTGATTCTTCTTTGTTTCCAACTTTTGCATTACAGTCACCAGTGATAATTAACATATCTTGATTGCACGTTTGGTCAATTTCAGACTACAGAAGTTGATAAAAAAAAATCTTCAACTTCCTCATCTTTGGCTTTGGTGGCTGGTGCATAAATTTGAATAATAGTCGCATTAACTGGTCTTCTTTGTAGGCATATGGATATTATCCCATCACTGACAGCACTGTACTTTAGGACAGATCTTGAAACATCCTTTGTGATGATGAATGCCATGCATTCCTCTTTAAATTGTCATTCCCAGTATAGTAGATCATATGTTTGTCTGTTTCAAAATAGCCAAAACCAGTCCATTTCAGCTTACTAATGCCTAAGATATCAATCTTTATGCATTCCATCTCATTTTTGACAACTTCCAATTTTCCTAGATTCATACTTCATACATTGCATGTTCCTGTTATTAATGGATGATTGCAGCTGTTTCTCCTCAATTTGAGTCATGTCACATCAGCGAATGGAGGTCTCAAAAGCTTTCTCTATATCAGTGAGGTTGGTCTTACTCTAATGATGCAGCTTTTTCCTAATCATATTTTGAAAGCCTTCTGACCTAAAGGGCTCATTCTCCTGCACCACAGTGGATAATGTTTCTGGGCTATTCACAAGGTTGTGCAGTAATGTATCAGACAGTGTTTCTCTGCTATTCATAAAGTTTTCCCTGGCCAATTTTTTGAGAAGTGTATGGCCTCTTCCTTCTTCCTAGTCTGTCTCAGTCTGTAAGCTGCATTGAAACCTGTGTACCATGTGCAACCTTGACAGCACTTGAAACACTGGTGGCACAGCCTCAAGCTTCCCAGCAACATGCAAGCCACAATAGTACAATAAATTGACAGACAAGTTTGTCTTGCTTAGCTGTTCGAAACCTCTCCACCCTCCCCTTACCTGTATCCCTGGTGCTGCTCTTCTCTGTCATTGCCTCTGGCTTCTCTTTCCCCTGCTTTCCTGGCTGGTGGGGATGAGCCCTGGGTACCTCCCTCCCCTTACCTGGATGCCTGACTGCTGCTCTGCTCTGTCATCCCCCTGGGTTCTCTTTTCCCACATGCAGTTTATGTTAATTATACCTTAAAAACCTATAAAAATTTCATTTAAAAAAATGTTGGGAGTAGGAAAATACCATCATTATGTCCCATCGTTAAAGTTTCTTTCACTGTTTTACCACAATGGGTCCTAGTAGGATTTAAGAAACAGTAAAGATGATCAATACTTACATGAGAAAATCCATTGCTCTTTGAATTCTCATGATCTCTGTGCTTGTCAAACTCTTCTGGCCAGTTATATGTGCAAAACTAGAGAACTGAAATTAAGAAAATATACATATGTATGTGTTGTTGTTAGGTACCATTGAGTCAGCTCTGACTCACAGCAACCCTATGTACAACAGAATGAAACACTGCCCAGTCCTGTGCCATCCTCACAATCTTTGCTATGCTTGCACCTAGTGTTGCAGCCATTGTGTCAATCCATCTCATTGAGGGCTTTCTCCTTTTTCACTAACCCTCCACTTTACGAAGCACAATATCTTTCTCCAAGGAATGGTCCCTATATAAGTATATACAAATATACATATATATATATATATATATATATATATACACACACACACACACACATACATACACACACCTACACATATATACATGTATATGTATATACATATTTTTAACATGGTACTATAGCATGGTAAATGCTATGGTAGAGTAAAATTTCATTAAAATTCTTTGTAATGTTTTGTCCTATCATATACAGCATCCATATTTTAGAAACCATGATGGGCAAGGTAATAAATGATTACTACCCCACAACACAAAATTTTAAAAATTACAATGAAATCATAACTAGATATGGATATTTCGTTAAATATGAGGCCTTGGGTGGTGCAAATAGTTAAGTCCTTGACTATTAGCTGAAAGATTGGTGGTTCAAACCCATAGAGAGGCACCTCAGAAGACAGGCTAGTGATCTGCTTCCAAAAGATCATAGCGTTAAGAACTCTATGGAGCAGTTCTAGTCTGCATACATGGATGGGGTCGCTATGAGTAAGAATCAGGGCTTCCAATCACTTCGAAAAAGTTCACTCATGGCCTATGAAACCAAGGACAGTGTCCTTGTTGCACAGCAACCAAATCTCTTCCCCACAGGATTTTGACATGAGTAGGAAACAGGCAACAGTGGTGTTTCATCATAGATGGTGTCTGGCCAAGACACTTTAAATGTGTATTGCTCTCCTTAGTCCTGTCAATAATCCAATTCACATTCAAAGCAATTTTTTACATTGACATTTTGCAACAAAGTGGTGCAGCCAGCTACCATCTTTGAGCAGGGGACCACTGCTTGTTTCCTATTCAGGTCAAAATCCAGCACACAAGAGATTTGGTTGTTATGGAACACATATGCTGCCCTTGTTTCTGTCAGTCATGACTGAACCATTTGAATTGGTTTGAAGCCTTGGTTGGAATAAACTCAGTGGCAGCTAACAATATCATTTCATCAAATAAGAGAGTTTACAATAAAAGATAACTGGATTTACCACCAGAAAGACCAGATTTTAGAATGAAAAAGCTAAATTAGTATCCATTTTTCTCAAAGATTATATCCCTGGGAAACTCAGAAGGGCACTCACCTATCAGAAAATATGGAGCAATTGTCTACTATTGTCTAGAAACATTTAACTTACTTTGATAAACTTCTCTTTGAGCAACCATTATATACCAGGCATTGTACTTAACATATGATGGGGACAAAGGTAAGTATTATGTGACTCCTGCCCTCAAGAAGCTGAATTATTATACATCAAAATAACTGAAATAAAATGGAACAAGTAGCAAAGTTGTGTTGAGTCCCTTAGGAACCTAGAGGAGTAATGACATTGACTTGCTCAAGGGAGAAGGGCTTCCAAAGGAGATAACATCTGGTTGAGTCTTAAAGAGTAAAGAAAATTTTTCTAGGGACAGAAGGAGAAAGGGATTTCCAAGTAGAGGAAACACAATCATAAAGTCACAGTGGCGGGACAGTGCATAGTGTATCCTGGGACTTGAAAATGGTTTGATGTGATCTAGAGTTCAGAGCCACAGGAGAAAGAGGTGAGAAAGGGAGGAGAAAGAATGAGAAAGGGAGAAGTTAACACTTAGGAAGGGTCTAATATGCATGGCATTTTGTAACCGAGGCATTTCACATTGATCCTATGGGGTAGATAATATTATTCTCATTTTATACTATTTTGTAACATTTTGTTTTGAAATAATTTCAAACTTTAGAAAAGTTGCAAGGACAGAATAAATAACTCCTCTATATCTTATTTGACCAACTGTTTACACTGACATTTTGCCCTATTTGTTTTTCAGTGTTTTAAGTCTCCCTAAGTCGTATGAGAGCAAGCTGCAGTCACAATGTCCCTTTACCCCTAAATACTTCAGTGTGCATTTCCTAAGTACAAAGACCTTCTTTACACAACAGTACAATGATCAGAATCATGAAAGTTAACAGTGACCCAATCCTATTATCTAATCTACAGACCTTTCTCAAATTGTATCAGCTGTATGAAAAATGTTCTTTAGTGCTACATACAAGATTTAGTCTAGTATCACACTTTGCATTTAGTTGTCATGTTTCTTTTGTCTTCTTTAATCTAGAATAGTTCCTCGGTCTTTTTTTCAATCTTTCATGTCCTTTACAGGTTAAGTATTTTGTAGGATCACTCTTTTATTCCTCCAGTATCTGTAATCTTATGAAAGTAGATTGCCAGAACTTTCTTCTGCAGCACTGCTAGGTAGATTCAAACTGCTGACCTTTCAGTTGGTAGTCAAACACAAACAATTTGTACTGACTAGGGATCTTTGTTGGAAGGAAGATGGGGCAATCTACTTCTGTAGTGATATGGCCTCATAAACCCAAGGAGGGGTCGCTGTGAGTGGGGTCCGACTCGACTGCACATAACAACAACAACAGGGACCTTTGTGAGACAGGCCCCACCCAAGAGACAGGAAAGGAGAGAAAAAGCCAGGGATGACAAAGCAGCAGGATCCAGGTAAGGGGAGGGAAACAGGCCCTACCCAAGAGTCAGGAAAGGCGGGAAAGCCAGGGAGGACAAAGAGGCAGGAACCAGGTAAGGGGAGGGTGGAGAGGTTTCAAACAGCTACAGGAGACAAACTTTTCTGTCAGTTTGTCATACTGTGGTGGCTTGCATATTGCTGTGAAACTTGAGATTGTGCCACTGGTGTTTTAAACTCCAGCAAGGTTGCACATGATGCACAGGCCTCAATGCAGCTTACAGACTGAGACAGACTCTCAAAGAATTGGCCAGGGAAACCTTATGAATAGTAGAGAAACACTGTCTGATACATTACCGGGCAACTTATGAATAGCCTGGAAACATTGTCCAATACAGTGCAGGAAGACGAGCACCTTAGGTGAGAAAGCACTCAAAATACAACTGGGAAAGAGCTGCCTCATTACAGTACAACCAACCTTAATGATTCGGATAAAGTAAAGCTTCTGGGACCTCCATTTGCTGGCGTGGTATGACTCAAATTGAGGAGAAACAGTTGTAAACATCTATTAATAATCAGAACATGGAATGTATGAAGTATGAATCTAGGAAAATTGGAAGTTGTCAGAAATGAGATGGAATGCATAAAGATTGATATCTTAGGCATTAGTAAGCTGAAATGGACTGGTTTTGGCTATTTTGAAACAGACAAACATATGATCTACTATACTGGGAATGACAATTTAAAGAGGAATGGCATGGCATTCATCATCACAAAGGATGTTTCAAGATCTGTCCTAAAGTACAGTGCTGTCAGTGATGGGATAATATCCATATGCCTACAAAGAAGACCAGTTAATGCGATTATTATTCAAATTTATGCACCAACCACCAAAGCCAAAGATGAGGAAATTGACAATATTTTTAATCAACTTCTGCAGTCTGAAACTGACCGAATATGCAATCAAGATGTGTTAATTATCACTGGTGACGGTAATGCAAAAGTTGGAAACAAAGAAGAATCACCAGTAGTTGGAAAATTTGACCTTGGTGACAGAAATAATTCTGGAACTCACATGATGGAATTTTGCAACACCAATGACTTATTCATTGCAAATAACCTTTCTTCAACAATACAAATGGCAGCTATACATGTGGACTTCACCAGATGGAATACACTGGAATCAGATTGACTACATCTGTGACAAGCGGCAATGGAAAAGCTCAATATCTTTAGCCAAAATCAGGCCAGGAGCTGATTGTGGAACAGACCATCAACTGCTCATATGCAAGTTCAACTTGAAGTTGAAGACAATTAAAACAAGCCCATGAGAGCCAAAATATGACCTTGAATATATCCCTCCTGAATTTAGAGACCATCTAAAGAATAGATTTGATGCATTGAACACCAACAACCAAAACCAGAATAATTGTGGGATGATATCAAGAACACCATGCATGAAGCAAACAAGAGGTCATTAAAAAGATGAGAAAAGAAGAAAAGACCAAAATGAATGTCAGAAGAGACTCTGAAACTTTTCCTTGAGTGGAGAGTAGCTAAAGAGAATGGAAGAAATGATAAGATAAAAGAGCTGAACAGAAGATTTCAAAGCACAGCTTGAGCAGACAAATGTGCAAAGACCTGGAGTTAGAAAACCAAAGGGAAGAACATGCTCAGCATTTCTCAAGCTGAAAGAACTGAGAAAAACATTTAAGCCTCAAGTTGCAATACTGAAAGATTCAATGAGCAAAATGGTTTCAAAAGATGAAAGGAATACACAGAGTAACTGTAACAAAAAGAACTGGTTGATGTTCATGCACTTCAGGAGGTGATATATGATCAAGAACCAATGGTAGTGAAGGAAGAAGTTGAAGCTGCACTGAAGAAATTGGCAATGAACAAGACCCCAGGAATTGACGGAATAGCCATTGAGATGTTTCAACAAATGGATGCCTTGCTGCAGGCACTCACTTGGCTATGCCAAGAGATTTGGAAGGCAGCTACCTGGCCAACTGACTGGAAGAGATCCATATTTGTACCCATTCCAAAGAAAGGTGATCCTACAGAATGTGGAAATTATTGAACAATATCATTAATATCGCATGCAAGTAAAATCTTACTGAAGATAATTCAGAAATGGTTGCAGCAGTATATTGACAGAGAACTTCCAGAAATGCAAGCTGGATTCAGAAGAGGATGTGGAATAGGGTTATCATTGCTGATGTCAGACGGATCAAAGCAAAGAATACAGAAAGATGTTTACTTGTGTTTTACTGACTATGCAAAAGCATTTGATTGTGTGGATCAT